AAGGTTGAGAATATGGGTTTGAGCAGTTGAGCTTATGATTAGTATGAGAATTGGCCCAATTGGCCATGGTATCATATTCATGAACATTCAGCATCCACAAATTAAAAACCCAATCGAACCAGCCCCGGCTTGGGTTCAAACCAATTTTCAATACTCATTGACCCACCTCCATCAATGGACAAAAATTCCCGTTACCAAACATTAAAACCACTTTGAAATTAATTTAATGCAATTTATTAATTATTTAGCTACTTTATGAATTCTTTAATTACTTTATTATCTATCCTGTTCAGATGTTATACCAAACAGCCTTCTTTCGAATGATTCAACAAAAAAAAAAAAAGTTATACCAAACAGCCAGCTGATTCAGCTTTGTCGAACGCCCCCTTTTGCTCTTGTTCAAAGTTTCTATCCATCTTTCATTCCAGTGTGGGATCGTGAGGTGGTTGCTTCACTGCAATCGGGGAGCTGAGACGTTAAATTGTGGGTGTTTGGTATCGTGGTGATGATGCCATTGAGGGTGAAAAACAGCTCCGACAGCCACTGGAGAGAAAAAAGAAACATCTATTTGATGTTTCAGCTGATTCTGATTGCAAAGAGACGTGGCCGTTGTAACTTCCAACGATCTAATCAAATATGTTTTGTTTGTGTTTTACTTAAAAAACACAGACGTGGCGCTGATATGAACCCCAAATAGAATTGCAACACCTCTTTACCAAACACCATTGCTGGATTTTTCTGGCTTACAAGTTACAGTCTGAATTAATGTTTGGTTTTTGAGACGCAAAATAGGAAGAAGACGTATGTGACCCATGATTCGATACGACCATACAAGGTTGAATACAGATGTCTAGGAATTCAGATAGATTTGCTGCGAACAGAAAACCAGCTGCATAGGTGTATGTGTTTTACTTAAAAAACACATGAGAAATCTGATAGATAGGCAACACAACGTTTGGTGGACACCATTCTGATTGTCAGTTTTAAGGTCAATTCAGCCATGAAATACGAAAACATTGCACGGAGTGGTGCTGCCAGAAGACACGAGAGCTAAGGTTGATTCTAATGGGACCATTCCAAGCAATCACGATATCTAAACCTTTCAATATTGGCAAACCAGTCAGTCAGCCAGGAAATTTCCTTCCTTCCCCAAGTGTACGAGTGAAGGAGACTTACTCCAGATGAGACTGGAGATTGGACTGGTCTTACTGTATCAGAAACCATCTCCATCTTCCATGGCAATAATGAAATGTTTACATTGGACCTACTGTCGCAGATGATTTTGTTGGCATATTTATTATTAGCTTGGCAGCATATGTTGTGATAAAAGTGCTTTTGACGTTTATACATGAAAAGCAAGCATACAAAAGTGCTTCCATTGCTTTCACCAGCTTAGTTGCTCTTCATTCCTAGTTGTTGGATAATGGATTTGTCATGGTTCTAAATTCTTATATGTTTGATATTCGTTAGAGTACTCTCAGAGTCACCATTCCTGTTTAATATGCAAAATAAATTTGCTTGTTTTCCATTGACATTGAATATTCTTTCGTTACTCCTTCAAGTTCAAAGAGTTGGTCAACAACTCTGCATCCAACCTTTGTTGCATTACTTATACCACATGATTTTCTTGAGAATTCATCTTTATGATTTGCATTCAGATTGATTAGTAATTGGGATCGCTAAGCGGAAGTTGCTTTTCTATCTAATAGATATGCCGAGACAACTGGGTTTGATCTGTAGTACCCAGTTATCAAGCCAGAATTGTGTTTGATTTCCACGGCTAATAGACCATGTAATACTTAAAACCAGGTCATTCCTTGCTCTTCACAATTCCTTTCCATCCCCATGTATTGTCCTTTTAAGGACACATCGAAAAAACTATGATTTCGTAGAAATTTCCGACCAAGTACTAGTTACCATATACTTATAGGTCAACCCAGATTTTAGTTCTGTGTGTTTAAGAGCTTTCCATCTTAACTTGTTGATGGTTGCCGTATTTATGTCATGGGTCGATCTTGGTCCAATCCGCCCTTGTCCGTAGGTTGCATGATAATTTGCAGATTTTAGTGTTTTAGACATGGGATAGCGACCCACCATTTAACTTGAATGGCCACATAACTTGCCATTTGGCTTTAACTCAGAGGACAGGATATAGCAAGCAACCCACCATTAAATGGACCCCTTTGTTGATGGAGATCTTCAGCTAGAGCAACATCAGCTTTTTGTTTATGTAGACACTCTTTTAGATGGGACCCGCCCAGATGATAGTATGCAACAGGTGGCAAGTTATGGAGACCCAAAGGTCTGAGAATTGAGATGGTGTATGGTGAAATTACAAATCAATTGGAGACCCATTGTTGATGGAGATCTTCAGCTAGAGCAACATCAGCTTTTTGATGATGGTATGCAACAGGTGGCAAGTTATGGAGACCCAAAGGTCTGAGAATTGAGATGGTGTATGGTGAAATTACAAATTAATTGGCAAAGAAAACTCCCATTTGAAGGGGCGATTTAAAATTGCCTGACTAAAATTCTGTTTCCATGGTGTCTGATAAATTCTTGAATGTCCTTGAAATGTCAAAATGTGAGATTGATGATTCAGTGTAATAAAGAAACAGGTTCTGTCAATAGTCTTTTGTCTACATACTTGAGCCATATTCCAGAAACAGATCCGTCCATGCTAGTCCGGCCAAAGTGCCAAGGTGGTGCTTGTGCACTTTTTTTCTAATTTCCCCTTTCTTTTGAAAGATTGATGCTAGCCAGCAGACCGGCCTTTTAAGCTTGAGGACCAGATTTCCTTTACCCAAACACTGTTCTGTCCTTTCAGTGAAATCTGGGAAAATGAAAATCCTGAAACAAATGTCGCATTCCAATTACGTCGGTGGCAAGAAGAGGATAGAACCCAATAGGGATGGAGGAGACCTCTGACCTCTACTTGGGCTTTTGTTGCATTCACAAATAATGCCATTTATTCTTTGTCCAATAAATAACAATATCCGTAGCCACTTTCTCGGATGGTCCTCCCTCTCTCATCTAATCTAAATAATCGTGTACTCTCTTTTACTCTTTCTCATCTCAGGCCAACTTCCACGGTTCCACAATATATATCCATATTCAATCCAAGAGATAAACTGTAGAGTTCCAATTAAGAACCAACACAATCCATGAAAAGCTTAAAGCAATTGAAAGAAAAGAAAAGTTCAGTTGGCTTTTCTCTTAGCTGTTCACAGAATTGAACGAGTGGGTATCAGTGGATGGTTGAGACTTGAGAGATTTGAGAGGTTGGTGTTATCCAACCGCAGGTCCGGCACATGAGTTATGAATAGATGGGATGTCCGTCGAGTATGGTCTCTTGTCTTTTCAAAATGAATTGATTGACGTTTGCATTTTATATATATATTTTTAATATTGATTCAGATTGGGTAGAGCTACTCCCAGCAAATTAGGCCAAACAGGCCCCGGATAGAAGAGCAAAACAAGACGTCCAACAAACTGAAACCATGATATAATGGTCCACCTCTTATTATCACAATCTTTCGGTTGGATACCAACCAAGAGGTTAAGGGGTGTAGGATTGGAATCTGCTCAAGCAATTTACCCAACCGACATGAATCCGATGGTCAGAATTCAGCAAGGGACACTTCACGTGCAGTGTATAGTGTCTACTGTTTACTTCCATCACTGGTCATGTGTAAATATTAGAGCAAAAACACGAGTTGGAGCTGGAGGTGGGACTGAGATCTGAGGCTGACTAGAAGCTGCGCTTGCACCAGCTTTAGCTAATAAATTGAGGTACAAGAATGAGAAGGCAATGCAAACTTGACACATCTGAGAAAGCCAGCCTCGTTTTGCAGCAAAATGGGTCAGTAAAGCTGTTATCTGGCTGTCATCTCTACCTCCTCTGACCTGTCCAAGTAATCGGGACATTGGTTGCTCTGAAGCTTGTAAAATCATCTATAGTGGCAATGACTATGAGGGAACAGGTAACAAGGTTGTAGCCTCTAGTAGATCCATATCCTTGGGGTATTTGGAAACAAATAATTCTTTTACCATTCGCAAATGGCTTCCATAATCTCATTGTAACAGCCGTTGCTAGATAGCTATGTTTTTACCAGTCAGCAGTTTTTTATTGAAACAAAGCATATTTTGATTTGATGTTTCTTTCCATTTCAAAACAGTTACAGATTGGCTTATCAACATGTGAATAAGAATGAATTGGAATATCATTTTAGGAGCTTTAACATTAAGAGCTAGACCTACTGCAATCAATGGTTTAGGAATTAAGCATAGCATCTCCAAAATTTCATGTACTCATGGAGTACAAGTTGAACTTCACATGGATTATAACTGTGGCAATCAACGCCCCATGGTTGTCTTGTTCAGATGAGACTTTTGAATGATGGGATTGATCGGGAGGAGATGGGAAATTTTGGAGTTCATTTTTTTCTTTTGGAAGAATGGAGGGTTACTATCCCCATTCTCTTGTTCTTGCTCCATTATCTTACCATCACAACAGATCTCTTATCTCATATTGAGACCTGAGGCTCAGTTTGGGAAGAGTACAAATACAAAAATGTACAGAGCAAATACAAGATTTACAAATACCGTTTACAAGGTTTTGCACTTAACGTATTTGTATTTGCATTCTTCCCAAACTGAACCTGAAGAACTTACAGTACCCCTCTAATTATTTACTTGCTGCATTAATGAAAACAGACTACTATGATAATTCAACATGTAGACCATAATCTCTCCTTGTGCTCTCAAATGAATTTTGAATCAATTCTGCTTGAACTTCAACAAATTCAATATGCAGCACAGAGTTGAACAATAGGCACTATAAATTTCTTCATTTTTTTGACTGATCTTCAATGCAACCTCTTCCTGACGAGGATCACAGGAGAAATGCCTTCTAAATTTCTATTTACACTGCAAATGCTTTAATTCATATGTTAGGCCCTACAATGTAACAATCTGAGCAACAAGGCCCACGAAATGTATAGGCAGCAGAAACTTCGACTCCTTCAAAGGTGTATCATAAATTTACATTCACAACTTTGTAAATATGACAGCTTCCAGGTAATCATCCTCCATAAACAGAAATGGCCAACAGAATCATCTTATGTCATGCTCTACATATGTAAATCAATAACAGCCAATCCATTTTGATGACAATTACCAAGGAATATATTCCAACTAAAATAGTATGTACCACTGGCAAAATAAGAGGAAAAAAAAGAAAAGAACAACTTACATAATCCGCACAACAAGAAGATGCAACTTAGCAAAGAAAATTGATGAACATTATACAATAAAAAAAAAAAAAAAAACACAAGACGGATAATAGCAGCATGGAGCAGGATGATCCAATCCAACTTCTCCTATATTGTTTACAAAATGTATGATGATAGATACAAGAACACTACCTGCTTAACCTTTTATTGTCGATGAAGACTTGAGATCTTTCTTTTTCTCCACCTTCACCTCCACTTTCTTCTTCTCCTCCTTGCAACAGGGTTGCTACCCAGGAAATCAAAATCACATGATATTAGCAAAATTGTACATAGGATGCCACTACTCAGGATTATTTGGCCTGCCCAAGCAATCAAGACCCTCGGTCCGGCTCCGCACAATCCTATGGAACACTTCCCTCACCTGGCGCTCCAGAGGGTCCAATCCATCCTTCATTGTTTCACATATCTGTGCCAACTCCGACACTCCCAGCCTGACTTCTGCCTCGCGCTCCTCAGTCAGTGGCAAGTGGACTGCATCAGCCAATTCAGCCATGTGCCGAGCACATTTCTCCATCTGATTGATCTCCTTCAACAATCCATTGGAATTCCGCCGGTCCCTCTTCTTGGCCTCATCCATAATCCGCTCATGAAGTGAGAGAACTGGAGCAGCCCATGTGAAATGGCGGGAGATTGAGAAATGAGTCTGGAGGCCACGGTCCTGGCAAGGGATTGCAGCAACAAGTGCCCACATCACAAACAAGAGAATAGAACCCATTGTAAACACTGGAACTGCCAGTCCACCAGTAGCAACAACCTCATTGCCGCGAGGTGCAGCCAAGTTGTTCCCAATTGCCTGAAGCTGCTTCGCAGCTGACCACGAGCGAGATACACTCCACGAAAGAGACCGAAAATGCCCCACTGAGCGAGAGTCCTTGCTCGTATTGTTACGCCCAAAAGAGCGATTTCTCTGTGCGAGAACTGATCCAGAATCCTTCTCATCCAGCATAGCAATTGCCAAATCCGTCAAGGCCTTCTTCGCCCGACGGAACTGGCCTTCCCCGAGTGTCCTCTGGCGAGAATCCAAGGCACAGAGAACAATCTCCATGTGCTTCTGCCATTGCCGAACCTGCTCAATCCCATCACGAATGGCGTTACAAACATCAAGCGCCTTTACGCTCCTCTCAAAGAAATCAGTAATAAGGCGATCAAGGGGTGATCTCGAGACGAGATTCCTGTTGTTAAACAGTATAACCCTGAATTCTTCCTGGCAGCAAAGGAAAGCATCGAGAAGCCGCCGGATCCATGAAAGGGAAAGTAGATCGTCAGAGCTAGCAGAGGCAAGATCGCCGAACCGGTCAGAAACCTGTTTCTGAAACGCCTCAAGCTCCAATTCCTGGCTGGTAGGGTCATGGTTGCTTTCCATGGAATGAACCTGGTCGCGTCTGATACTCAGAAGCGAACGACCTAGAGAGGCGAAAGGCACGGATGAACCCTGATAGTCTGTGGCAGGCATCTTTACTCACATCAATGGAAAAAAGCAGGAAAAAAAAAAAAAAGAAACTCCGGCAAATTCCTCAGAAACCCTCAAATTCCTGAAAGCAAGACCACCACTGACGAAATAAATAAAAATAATTAAAAACCCACCTCAGAATTCAACCAGATCTACCGACACAACCCTCCAAAATCCTCACTTTATCAGATCCACTGCCTCCTCAAACCAAGCCCATTATCACCCAAGTTCCCCCCAATTAAAACCTCAAAACAAACCCATAAACCAAATCAAAATTCAACAAAAAATAACCCTCAATCCCAACAAAGCTCCCTTCCAAATCAACCGAAATGGAAGAACAGGACAAACACCTCAATAGTCCAAATTGAGATTTCACGAAACCCCTTTCCTTGGCGTCCAAGCATGAACAACCATCAAAGCTTAGAAAAACGCATACAAAGACATGGGTATCAATCCAAACAAGGAGAAAAAAATAACGAAGGGAGGAACAAAGGCGAGAGCCGAAAGGTACCTCGTAAAGCAAAGCGGGGAGAGAGAGAGAGAGAGAGAGAGAGAGAGAGAGAGAGAGAGAGGAATTACAGATGAACAATGGTGGATTCTGAAAACCCTAGCGCAAGGGGCCCCCTTTATGAGCGGAGTCTCGTCCACCGCGTTTCGGTTAAAACAGAAGGAAAAATGTCCGAACACCGAAGAAAAGAAACGAAAAGAGAGAAATGTGGGAAATTTTCCAAAATAGATAATAAAACTCAAAGTTAATTCTAACTAATTACGTTTTTATTAAATTAAGTAAAAAATTAGTCCCGAATTTGAACACGCTCCGAACACGAATCGGACACGTTTGGCTAGTTATATAACCTTTCCTAAATTCGCACTACTGCTAATAATACCCGGCCTCTGGTCTTGTACTCGCCGCGCGCGCGCGCCAATGCATCTGAAATGGTCTGAGTCCACCACTCGCCGGGTCGTACTTCCCACAGGGTTGGGTTGGGGAGTAACTGTCAGAATTCGCATCGGCGCCCAACAGCACATCTCAACCGTGTATTAGGAACATCTCGCAATGACAAATATAGGAGATATTCTCAATGCACGCTGAGATGTACATGTGGGGCGCTCATTGCATTGTATCTGTCATTCTGTGGTCGTGCCACGTGCAATTCTACTGTCTATCTTGTGGGCGTATGGTGGATTGACACGTGTAAGGACTGAAGGAAAAGCTGCAGCACAGCTGGAAAAGCGGGAGACACAGTCTTCTTGCCATATCGGAAGTTCACACGTGTGTGGTCCAGCTTGGTCTTCGTTGGCGCGTAATGTGGAGCGCGGAAGCGGGTGGGGGACCGAGTCGTCTCGCCTTCTAGAAGTAGAAGAGGCCCGAGAGGGTTTATCGCTTATCGGATATGACTGGAATTTACGAAGCTACCCCTTGACTTAGTGCTGTTATATAATCTCTTCGTTGTTGGGAATAACAGTGACCTGGTATGATGTGGGTCCCACTCCAATTGGCGGTCGTGATTGAATTTCTACCACGATCCAGTGGTTGGAATTCAGTGGGAGAGTTGGATCTCTTAAATCCTTGTTCTTGATTAGAAAAATGAAGAGGAGGAATTCAAAGCAAGCCTAATTAATGCTTGATTAAGAGGCTTAATGGGGATTATTGTTATTATTTAATCATTCCAAACAAACAAACAAACATGCCTCAGCCTGAGTCCTTAAATTGAAATTAAAAAAAAAATGAAGACCAGAGAATACACTTTTTTAATTTTTTGAGAAATAGTGAATTAAATAATATAAATGCGGAACCCTTAATTTAGGAAACAATAAATGTACACGTGTTTACCAAGGTAAAGAATGTATAAAGATTGAAGGCATTTTGTCATGTAGTTGGTGCTAAGTTCTAACTTAGAAGAATATCAGAGACACCATATATATATGATATTTGATTTATTTATTTATAATTTTGTGTTTGTGGGTTTTCTATAAAACTATCAACATCTTCTCTGGGGTTGAAGAATTTTGTGTGGAGTTCGATGGGCACAGATGGGGACCACCATCCGACAGAAGCCAAGAGCAGTAATGGTTGGCTATTGAGGGAGGTGTGGGTGATTGCTAGGCTTTCCTGCTTACTCACAGTCACAGTCACAGCCTCACAGGTATCGTTCCTTTTAATTTCCAACTTTTTATTAGAATGCTCCATTCTTTAGTACCGTAAGAAACGTGAAACCACGTTCGTGTTTAATGAGGATGTTGGGCTTGGGATTATATTAGGCACGAAGCCCTTCTTATCCGGTCCCGGTTTGATGTCAGTGTAAATGGGTTTTCCTTTTCTTTGCCACGTGGAACCCACTTAGCTGTCTGTTACTGGAGAGAGAGAGACGGTCTTTCTTTTGCCAAGTGGCAAATTAAAATCCCCATGTGCTGCAATTTGATAGGTGGAACCGTGGAAGCATCCATCAAGTGGGAGAAGATGCGACCCCCAATTGGTCTAAACTATTTCAGCTGCAATATGTGAATGCATGGCTTTGGAGTCTGGAGACTAAGCCAATGAGATGGCTTGGCCTCAGGGGTTGGAACGTTGGCACAAGTTGAAAGAGTAAGACTTCTTGATTATTCTGCCAAGTGGAGGGACAGCTGACCTGTCTGAAAACTGAACAATCTAAGAGTGCCCATAAAAACCCGAAAAATCCAAACTGAAAAATAACTGAACCGCTTTGCAGTTTTTTCGATCTGGTATCAGTTTTTTTGGTATATAAATTCATGCGTGGGTTTTGATTGATCAAAACTCTTTTCATATCATATCTTTTCCGCGTTATAGATTTTTCATTATTCGATCAACTGATTAACGAATTGATTCGATTTGATAATTTTCAAAAACCGAACTGGTTTGATGAGCACCTCTTGTATCAACCACATGGACTATCCACATCCATGTCAGCTCCATCTTTTGTTAAATTATTATTTTTTCTTTAATTAATATAGTTACAGCTTCTCTCCCTTAGGCCGTATTGAGTGTTGGATGTTTTAGATTAGTTTCGTATGAATTGGAACACCAACAAGGAATATTCCAAAAAAAAAGATGACCTCTCAAGTGAACCAAGCAAGTTCCCTTCTTTTTTGAGGAAAAAAAAAGTTGAGCAAAGAGAAGAATATCTGGAGCCAGAGGTGAGGGGTGAGCGCTACCAAAATGGCCATTTGGTTTGGGAATATAAACAAGAACATTGACCCCTTTAATTCCGCAGGGATGCTTGGTCCAAATGTTGTAGACATCATTCATTTCTATGTGGGTATTTTCAGATCAGCTGGTAATTAAAAAAGAAGAGAAATAAACACGTTTAGTAAGAGTCTGGATCTGTTGACCACAATACATTATTAATAACATTCATCCAGTTGTACATTGAGAATATTGGTGATATAAATCAGAAGAGATGTACTCAATGTGTAATTGGATGAATGTCACCAATAATGTATTGTTGTCGGCAGCATCAGGTAATAGACATAGGGGTCATTTTGCAAGTCGCTTTTGAAAGATCTTCTGGAAGCTTTGACAGTTAAAGATGATGTAAGCTTTTACATTAAGATCTTAACAGTTTGAAGACCGTTTGATTAAAGTGTATCTGTTCATGTGTTTTTCGTACGAAGACCAGTTGAAAAAAAAAAAAAAGACAAGATATTTTTTCAACCAAATGGGAAAAGACCAAAACACAGGTTGCCTAACTTAGCCCGCACAAAAAGATGCACCAAGCGGGACCATAATTTATCCAATAAAAGATGCATTCAATGACAAAAGCCTGACCTATGACATCTCAATATCTGACCAAATTAAACAATACCAAGTTGGGCGTTTCAGCCTTCGATTTCAATTTGCAAGGGCATGAAAATGACATCGTTTTCACCGCTTTTTTAATATTTTCTCTTTATTTACATTGCAATTGAACTTCTTAAGAAGACTCATTCCTGAAATGTCAAATAAATAAAATATCTGGAAATGGAATCACTTTTCTGAAAATTCTACTGACAAATGCATGTTTATGATAGAAATATAATCCTATCCTTTTCAAGGTTTAACCCTTTGAGACAACAGCAAATAAAGAAGTCGGTCAAAATGGTGGGAGGCTTGGAGCTTTTAGAGCCTTCATTTTCATATACCACATTTTATGATTTGATTTGAGAGAAATGTTTAAAGTATTATTAGTTACAATTAAAATAAAAAATCACCAATTATAAAGGGATAGTTGGTCATTATTTAACAATTAACCCCCCCATTTGGGAGTGCTTATAGGATAAGCACTTATCCTAGTAAGTCCTTATGAGTGTTTGGTGAAAAAATATTTTTTTAAATGGGAGGTAGTATAGGTATTTTGAAAATTACATGACAGGTCAAGATGGACCAGAAATGCAATAAGCACTTTTTCTTGAAAAAGGCCAGAACGTTAGGCTTATTTCCTGAAAAAGCACTTATTTAGGATTATTTCTCAAAGACGAATAAATGCTTATATGTGTGGTCCTTGCATAAAATAAGCAATCTCAAACAGGGACTAAGTGTAACGGAAACCAGATTCGCTATGTGGCACATAGCGCTTCTCACACCACATCGTAGTCATGCATTGGGAATATTTCCTGTACTTATATGTTGTCATTCATGGAAGATGTTCCCAATGCATGGCTGTGATGTACTGTGAGATTGGTGTAAGAACTCTATGAGGAGAAAATCCGGATTCATTGTAACAAATCCAAATCAAAAACCTTCCTTTACCACCATTTTGAGCCAAAAACATAAAAAAAAGATTTGGATAAGAATCCATGGACCATGGTGTATGGTATGGTATGGTAGTAGACTTGCTTCAAACACCAAACAACAGAAAACAAGTCATTTCATTTCCATGTGATTTCGAATGCCTCCGGCCCTCCACAACAAACCTCCCACAGTCTCAGTCCACACAAATAACATCGTCCATCCAGGGCATTACATGTGAGAGGTTGAGCCTAGGTACCCGCCAATAATGGGGATCATGGGCATCTCATTTCTCATTCAGTTAAAGTGTCATGATCAAACTAGATAAGCACAAAATCCCATTCCCACCCATTATTGCCAGTATCTTGTCCATTATTGAAACTAAAAGGGTGCCTAACTTCCACAAGTTCCAAGGATTTCAGTCTTGTCTTTCGAAGATTTACCCTTCCACGAGTTTAAAAAAAAAAAAAAAAAAGAAACAAAAACAGCGCAAAGTAGTCAATTATTAGGATAAAAAATGTAATGAAAGGAAGGCGAATAGAAACGAAAGAGGATTTTTGCTTGGTCCACCTTTGACTGGAAAATGGGAGAATCTTTGGCCTTATCTTTTCTTTTAATTGTATTAGAGAGAAATCTAACGATGGTACAGCTTCTTTTCATTTGGATTATTTTAATCAGTTGGTGAACTAAAGATTGAATAGGTGACATCAAGACTGGGGCCCTTCTTAGGTCTTCTAACATAACCAACCAAACCATCAATAGAATTATAATTCAGGTTGTATGGCCCATTAGCAGAGAAGGGTCAAATGAGAGGAGAGGATCTCCCCTCAAAAGGCAAGAAGGAAATATTTCCAAGGTAAGCACAATTTTCTTTTTCAAAGCAAGAAGCTTGTAGAAGAAATCAAGTACACTGTACAACAGGGTGCGATGAGCCATCAAGAAGGTAAGCATTCTCGCCCAACTCAGACCAGTCAGGCTCCCTTGACAGTTGTGGTGTCTCGTACAAAAGAATATGACAAGTTATGGTCAAGAGTCTAAAACCATACCAATAATGAAAACTGCACAAAGAGATACACCATAGTTTTACATATTACTAATAAGACTAATTAAGGATAAAGATGTTATCATACCATCCATGGGACCCATTTATGCACTAATATCAACCATACAGATGTATGGCACCTTTTTAGCCACCTCCCCCCCCCCCAAAAAAAAAAAAGAAAAGAAAAAAAAAAGGAGAAAGAATGCTAGAATGAAGATAATTTCCAGAATCATGAAGAATCCTGAAGCTATCTATGTGAACTGTTGAACATGCTCTAAAGTATTAATTCATGGTCCAAACGACTTGGAAGTAACGACACAACGATGCACAGGCAGGTACTGTATTTCTACAGGATCCAAAAGTACCCATCAATGGGTACAAAGTAGCTAGGCATTCATTTGGGAAACCCATTGCTAGACCTTTTAAGTATGTCAACCTCACGTTCATTTGCTATCTCGGCCAGAAAAATGCTACCAGAGTCGCACCATCCTCCCAAAACATCCCTGTTGGCAGACTGCAGAAATGAAGAAAATTAGAATAGTATGCTAATGAGATGGCACTTACCCAGAACGTTTGTCATCAGAATAATAATGTCCTGAATGAACGTGATTATACAATTCCCAGTACCAACAGTTCAGACTTGGATATACTCATCAATGGATCGTCGCATAATTGGCATTTAAAAAGGAACTTCTGTGCATGTTCACTTCAATGTACCTTGCTAAATCCAAGCCAGTTGGAGTCCCCTCTGAATGAAAATATCTTTTTGCTATCTTTCCAGTCTCCACAGAACACCTGCAAGCATGTATTTATCATTCCAGAGAAAAGTTTTGGTTACAAAATGCCCCATCCTGAGAAAGTGATAATTCTTTCTACTAGGGCAATAGAGTATATGTATATATGGAACAGAAGGAAACTTCAATTTTATAGCATGTCAAAGAGATAAATGCTCACTGCCATTGTGTGTTTTTCATCATATCCCAAATCGCGATCTATAGACAAATTCTATAAAATTGAAGGGAAGGCCTGTTATCACCTCATAATCAACACCTTGTATGTAAATATGAGATGAGTCGATTGATGAGAAAGAAAGGCCTGTTATCTGCATTAACCCCAAAAAACAACAAATAAAAAAAGCCATCATTAATTGCCTTAGTGCACTGCTAGGCTTGTCAATGCAAACGGCCATATGGACAATTTACTGTCTTGGGCAGTATACATGGGAATAAATCATATGCGAGTACAGCACAAGGACAAGGTACAGAATTTTTCGGGAAATGAAGAAAAATCATTCATCATTTGATCATGACCATCATATCAACAGAACTTTTTTTTATTGACTGTTCCTGCACGTCCAGCATAAATAGAATGCACCAGATATTAAGTTCAACCAAGCAGTGATAAACTAGCATGTTCCATATTTAGGCCACAAGTTTTTTACACAAAATCTGTTCTCCTAAAAAAGGAGTGCAATGCTAAATATGTTAATCTGTACAATAAACTAATGCGGTTATCATGTGTTCATTAAGTGGAAAAGCATGTATGCATACTCTACAGTGAATAGGGATTTCTTTAATTCACTGTGGAACGCCCAACCACTGCTCTTTTTTCTCTTAGTTATCCATTCTGTCTTTCTCTTGATTGAAAAATGTGCTATGTTAATAAAGAACCAAACTTGGTCTATCACAGCTCTAGTTCCATATCATTTGTGAGTTCAAATGCCACTGTTTTAAGGTATTATGCATCTTGTAAGGTGAACCACCTAGTACTAGTTATTTTCTGCAAAACAAAATCCAGGCCACAGTATTCTTACATTCTCCTATTTGGCCAACAAAAGAAAATGACAGGTGCACTCTTAAAAACAACCAACTGTGCTTGGGTATTACCTATAGCTACCATCATTTAGTTTATTGAAACAAAAATCAATTCATGAGTTGGAAAGTACTAACATTGTAACCATGGAAAAGTTGTGTCAGAGATGGTCATAAGTCCACAACAAAAACACCTCATTGTTTACCAAAATACTGACTTCAGGTCTCCATTCACACATCATTCCCTACCCCAACTCTCATGGTTGTTTCCCTAACTAATAATGAGGAGAACAGGGAAGAGAGATTTTGGGAACAAACCTGGGTGGGGAGTGCCCCTCTAAAGGATCAATTTCCTTCTTTGTATGCTCTTTTTGATTTGAAAAATGAGCCAATCTCGTCTTTCACCACCCCGTCCTCTTCCACTTCTGGGATTGGGTGGAACTTGGGTCTAAGAAGGGATTTGAGGGACTCAGACTTCAATAGTATTTCGAGCCTTATTGCAGTTCTTGATAACGTTGTCTTAGACCC